TTTTTTTTTCTTTTAACGCCAAAAAGTATCCAGAGCTTCCCGGGCAACGCACGGCATTAGTACATATGTTTTGGTATCAGATTTTGAAAGTATCGTATCAAGTATAGCGTGGCTGTCGTGTTGTCGTTTTTACCCCTCCTTCTATGGCCCTGCTAATTGCTGGCAGCTGTTGCCAATTCTTGTAGTTTATTGGCCATTAGCCTCACGTAGAACAGTGCGTGAGCAAAAATCTCGGTACATGAACGGTACTGAAAACTGGCTTTAAAGCTTGAGGTGGTACTTACGCTGTTCAGTTGTAATTTTGCTCTTCGACACCCTCTTTGTCAGTACAACAGAACGAATCATGCGCCTCTACAACATCTTCCTAGTCGCGGCGGTTACCCTCATTATAGGAATCCATGGGCTCCCCACTACCGCAGCACACGATCAAGCCAAGTCGCAAACCATGACCGCACCGGACACGGATTCCTCTGTCCGCTCACCGATGAGCAGGAATGACGGCACCAGTACAAACAAGCTCCGAGGTGCTGACAGCACGTCACCGCAAGACGAGGAGAGAGGAATCCTCTCGAGTGCGAAGGTCAGATTCTTCCTGAAACTAGGATATAATCCTCAAACGGCGAGCAAGCACTTATCGGAGGCGCAAATGAAGAAGTTCTACTATAAGTGGCTTGTGAAAACGACAGCCAAGAAGGCTAAGACGAAGGCTTGATTTTTGTTTGAAGCTCCCATCGACCTGTAGTAATAACCACTTCACTTAAACGTCCATACAGGAGAGATAGTCGTCGATCGACAAGTGTGAAGCGTGAGCTGTGCGACTAGAATTACGTCGGAATAATTTCTTGCTGTGTCGCTACGAAATCCTACTACGTAGTACAAAGACTCAATTCATTGCGTTTCTATTTTCGTTTAGCATGGCTAACCATTGCAACTAACCATCCTGTAGCCGTCGCTTCGGTAGTAAATGCACGTACAATGTTTAGGAACGGTTGAGGTTGAAGCGCAACGAACGGAACCACGTATCGAGTGCCGCCAAACTCTTGAAAGCCAAAGGAGATTGACAATTTCTCCCTTCGTTCGATCTTCACCGGTCCTTGTAGCCGCAACACGATCAATAACGCCTCCAAATGCTTCCCATAAATACTGCTGTTCATGGACTGCAGCGCTCACGGACTCTACAAGGGCGAATTATATGGCGGACAATTACCCCGTAGCCATTCTGGAGGAAATGTACATGGAGCAATTGACTTATTGTCCAAGTTGATTCAGAGAGTCTGTAACCGCATCTGATGCGGCGCATCAGAAGACAGTGCTGTCGAACGTATTACCTAGGTGAGAGCGCCTTTGTAGAGCACAGTCTACTGGCAGCTAGTCATGGTGGATACTCAGATAGCGTTACTGAACAAGATCATCAGGGTCAGTCTAATCCAGGTTGGACTGCGAGAATACAGCGCAACGTGACATAACGTCCAAGAATGCGAAATACGCTCGTTCGACTCGGATGAATTTCTTGCCCAAATTCTCCTAAACGGAGTAATGAAGTCACCCCACTTCTTGGCCATTGAGGGGAAGAAGACTGGGGGAAATGGCACAAGTCTAGCTCCGAGTCCTCTGTCTTCTGCTGTCGAATATTTAGCCACTGTGGCGAGGTCGCATTTCACAGTCCAAACTCAGCATGAGGAGTCCAGAGCCTCGTTGGAATGAATCAGAACTCTGGCGAAGAATCGAGACACACCAAGATGGATACACCTTTTCGATCTTTGTAACGTGGTATGTGAAGAGTGAACTTACCCCACACCCAAGTTTAGAGGACCGGCCGATATACCAATCGTTGGTTGCTAAACGCAAGTGGTGTGCTGTATGGCTTGAAACTAGCTACTACACGTCGGTTTCAGGACCGAGCGCCAGAGTTGAAGCTGATTGTGCCGATGGATTTGCGCCAAGCTATCGTGCTCTTTCCTCACGAAGATTACAAAGGCGGCCACTAAAGTGTCACTTAGAAATACGAGAAGTTCTTTTGGTCAAGGATGTTCACCGGCACTGATTGCGTTTCAGCAAAGGGACGACCACTGATTCACTGCCCATCACATCGGAAAGTTGAGCCCCAATATAATTTGCGGTCTTGTTTACGGAATTTTTGTCACGCAGTAGCCCAAGTCTGAAAGTGGTAATATGTATCGTTGCTGTTTCAGGAGGTACCATGAATGTACTCGACAGTGGAGAATCAATCCTACCACCATTCCATACCGACATTGATGTTTACCATCGACACCATCTACTTCATCGGTACAAAGCCATAGTGAGAAACCCTTCCACCACCAAAGTGCCATGCCAGGTGTGGCACCACCAGCTACTGCGAGCTTTTGCTTTTACCAATACGTGGTCAACCGCGTGCACACCCGCGCAGAACACTAGGGCCATCGCTGCCCATGGCTTTGAGCAGAGACATTGCCCATGATACCTGGCACGCTGCGTACAACATGTACAACAATCGTCATACTTACAGATGATTGGACTTCACTTTCGCTTACTCTGACGCACTGGTCACTGCCTGATCAGCGATGCATCTCATCCTCGCTTCGCGTCGTGTGGGGCAGCACGCATAACCGCTACACAGCTGATTTCTTCTCAGCTTAGCGAAGGTGCTTAGCGCCTGCGGTTTCCACCACCACCTATGCTAGTGGTGGTACTCTAACCCGGCTGCTTGCCCCAACCTGTAGGCGTCGTATATTGATATTTGATTCCGCAAGAAGATTGTCCTTACATCCGAACATTTCTTCAGACACCCTTGGAGAGGTGGATGTGAGAACATGGCTCACCACTCTTCTGTCAAAGACTATGGATCGGTTGGGTTTTATCGCCTGTGCCACACTAACAGCTCGGGGTCCGTGCCTCGTATAATGATCCGCCAGAGCCAACAGATGCTTGGTCATGTCGAGGACTGCGAGCGTCTATACAATACAACATCAATCGAACATCACTGTCCAGATCGATGAGGACCCTAAATACTTCCGTCACCATAACAAAGGCTATTCCATCCGGGAACATCAAAGGCAACAGCCCTGACATAGAGTTTGGTCAGGTGCTGCTATTTCAAGTGACATACTGGTAGCATGTATGTACTCCAGAATTTATTAAACGTTCAAGATGTAACGTCTCTCTCCCCCCCCCCAACCTCTCTCTCTCTCGCTCTACAACATATGTACTACCAGCTGCCTAGCATTGTCCTTTTCCTATTTGAGCGAGCCAAGTCTATCAGGAATAAGCCTCCGTAATGCACATAATCCTCCTACCCCTACCGATAACTTAGCGCTCCCCAGGTTTCACCTACTGATGATTGTAGAGCCCAGGACACCCCGCCGTGGCATTCGCCAACGGTCCTTAGGTCCGCGGGTAATATGGAGATCCTACTTTTCGAGGTCTCTTGAGGGACATACACGATGGTAGTGCCTAAGTGCATATGATCCGTACCAACGAACAAAGCTCTCGACGGAGCTTAAGTCCATGGGTTCGGGTTTGCTGTTCGCGCCGGTGTCAAGGGGCTGTGCTACAGCAGGAGCATCAGTACTGCCCTCCTCTCCCAAGGAGCGCCTGTCCAATCTTGGCGGGTTCCTCTTCCCGAATTGCCCATGGCCGTACTCCTGGAGGTCCACGCAAATCGCTTCCTCCATAGTGGTTTCGTCCACGCGGACTAGCTTCGTGTGCGTGCAGGTACAACCTTCATGAAGACTGTTGTCTTAATATCTTCAGGCGGTGGGTTTTCTGCCAGCGATGCCACCAACGTGCCCCTCGCCCGCACGTATTCTTGCAGCTCTCGCGTTTTGTCGCCTGCAACCAAGGAGATGCCGTCTCCGTGATGTAAGCACAATTTTTGGCACGCCGGAAGTCGCTCGGCCGAGATGAAGCCCGTTTTGATGGCGAACTCAACTTCTCTCATCCAGAAGTGAAGGTTCTCTCCATCCTTTCTCTCAAACACAAGAATCTTTAGGCTTTCGGGCCTAGGTTTGTGTGGTGGAGTGGGGGTCGCAAAATCACGTCGCAATCCACTCTGACACACAGTTCCCTGGACTCCCGACTAACGGAGGGGGTACTCCGATAACCGTGGGGTTGCTGAGGACTCACCTTGTGTACCCGTCGGCGAGGCTGGTTACACTCCTCTGATGGACTTGATGGGAAGATTGGCCTGGGCTGGTCGCGTCTTGGCGGGACGCAGGATGGTGGGGTTGCGTAGCGTGGATACTCTTCAGGCTACGCGCCGGGTAGGTCGTCGATCTTGATCGACTTGGGGTGTGGTTGTTCCTTTGCGGGGGGTTCCTTGTTCCTTTACTTGCGAGGCTTGACCGCTTCCTATAGCGGGAGAGTTGAGGGCGAGGGGGGAGACGATCGACCTGACAAGCTGCAAACTCCGGCGACTGACACGTGTTCTTGATAGAACTAACTTGATTACTGTATGGGCCAATATACTTCCCGCTAGAGCCCTCAATCTTGAACCGAAAACACTTGTTCCTGATAAGCAAATTCCATTCTGCTATTCCTGTAAGTCCTAGCGGTCCAACACCTTCTGCCCATCCTATAGATGCCCTTTCTATCACCCTTGTAGCCTGGTCGCGAGGTACTTACCTTGGGTACACATCAGTTGATGTGTCAACAGTAAATCGGGTCCTTGGAGGTAGATCGCGTGTCCAAATGATTGCTCCATATCGATCCACTCCGATGATTACGTAATCTTCACGAATGATGACGTATCACTGATGCGCCGTCGTCAACCACGAGTCTCACGTCTGGATTGGGTCACTTCCCATCAATCAGTCCCTTGTTCCCAGAAGCCAACTGTCACTTGACCACATTTGCCAGCCTGGGACGCGGCCAAGGAAGCTCCAGACTACCTCCAATGAGAGCGTTAAGACCACGTTCGTAGGTCTCAAATGCACTCACGCGACAGATTTGCTCGGCAGGCGCCACCGCTGCCAAGAAGGGGAGGACATCTTACCAAAGATGCCACCCAACTTCCGAACGGTCTCATACTGCGGATCATTCAAGTGGGGAAACTTACTTCGATCCGTCGTGGTTCTAGTGTTAAAACGCAGAGGATCCAGGTAGTTTAATCTACCCGATTAGGCGTAGGATTTACTACAAATGCTACACCGTATGGCGGGTACACAAGTACTATGCACATAGAAGTGCAAAAGGATATTACGACCCACGAGAACGTAAGTTCACTGTTCAAGGCCTCAAAGAGAACGGCTTGGTACTTAGAAGTGTAGATTTAGGGGTTATGTCATTTTAAAGGTAAGCTTACCTTGGTTTCTAACATAAATGATAAGCCACCTATAGTGAAGAATGTAGTTACGCAATGGTTCGCTCCCCGGATCCATGTACAAGAGTGACAGGTCACGCTTTCTAACTTGAGCACACTGGATTGTACCTCGTTACAATGCCACCAAGAAGGATGTTCCCCGAGTGCTTTGTCATTCTCCTAGAAGGGGTAGTGCGACGACGTTGCATGCACCAGGGGTAATGCTTCGCGGTCGTTGGGTCTCGAACGTGTACCAACTCGACACTTGGTACACAGAGCACCTAACAGCATGATCGCGGCACGAATGGTAAAACGATGGGGCGAGCGCTGACAGAGCCAACACCGACCTACATTGGGGGGTCACGCTTGCCTAGCGTGATAGCCTAGAAAGCGTTCTTGATACAACATGCATTACGTTCCTAAGTTCTTGCTCGTACCAGTCTGTAGTTAAAACGCATACTAATATTTACGTGTATATGCTAGATATCTGCAGCTTGAAGTTTTAAAACCAAGATTTTAAGTTACTACGACCCCCGTTAGGGAGAACGGAAAGGAGGCCGTCTTCACGAGTATATACAGTATTATACGCCGCAAGACCAGACTTATCCCCGTCAACACTGTTATACCAGGATGGTGGCGATAGCTTTGACCGGTTAACATTGATCTCTGTTTGACACATTCACTAGTTTCAATTGCTCGTACGGCATCGGGTAGTCCAGCGGAGGGAAATATGAAAAGTGCTAAATAATGACATCAACTCGCGATTTGTCTGTTCTAAACAATCTTGAAAACATACATAAAATATAATTAATATAGCACATCTCGTGCAACCAGGCGGGTTTTCCGGAAGTGTTCGTCAACCTGTTGCATTTTGCCGAACAGTGAATAGCCACAAAAAAAGGAATAATGCGAAGCTTGTTCACTCGTTTAAGTACGAATTAATTGCTCTTAAGCACGAAATGCGGTTTGTTGACAGGGCATAACTCGAAAACTACACGTGTTCCAAGGCCCTATAGCCCCCTACGGTTCTTCAAATATTGATTTTATTGGTAGACAACACTGCTCAACCTTTTTCAGAGTTATAGTATTTGCAAATCGTGGTTGGTCTCAGAAAAGTGTCGTTTTTCCCCTGATTGTGAGAGAAAAACCATGTTACAGCAAACGCTCTCCATTCCGGTATCGTGGTCCGACCCTATCTCAAGATTTGAAATTGTTTTAAGCAGTCTACAGGCTTAGCTGGGAATCGCGGACTATAAGATTCTCTACATCTTCGAGGTCGTCGTAGCTGGAAGCTATACTGTCCTTGCTCCTATCATCTACTGCGGTATACAGAATAGCTGTATGGCGAAAGCAGTTCTGGACTGTCTGTTTCTCCCGCAGGTCAAGCCAAATAGCCTTGCTCCACTGCATTGCCGTAAGCTGGCCAACCTTGTACGCCTTTTTGTCAATCACCGTGCTTAATCTTGTTGTAGACCCGCTCAAGCGGTTTCTGTCGGTACGCAACATTGAACGCTGCGATGATTCCAGCGTCCATCGGCTGTAAAAAGGCTGTAGTGTTAGGTGGCAGAAATTCTACCTGAACATCAGTACAGACCAGATTGCCAGTGCTGTGGGGTGAGGCGTTATCTAAGAGCAACAGAATGCAGCGACCACTGGCCCGCATATCTCGATCGAGAATTCTGAGCGACTCACCAAACACTGGACCATTCATCCACGCCTTCTCGTTCGCCCGATAGTAAAAACCCAACTCCTCTGCGGATTTCTTTTGAAAGCAATAAGGAGGCTTTGCCTGGCCCAGAAACAGCGGAGGCAGCAAGTTCGTGCCGTCAGCGTTCGCCGTCAGCGCGACCGTATCCGCGTCTTGTCCTTTTTCACGCCACGGGCGGACTTAGTGCAGATTGAGCGGGCAGGGGCCATCGCGTAGCACAAGCCAGTTTCATCCATGTTGTATATATCTTGGGGACTGTAGAGATCTGTTATTGGTTGTAGTCGTTGGAGCCCAGCCGCAACAACAACAGGACCGGCTGAACCAGCTTCGCCAGGTCGATGCCGACTACGTAGCCCATGCCGCCGCTCGAATGCGGTAAGCCAGCCGTCGGAGAACGCGATGTCCCACGCGTCGCACAGGTCCTGCTGGATATCGCGAGCCTTCAGCTTAATCAGCGCACGTGAGAGGCACACGCCTTGGGCTTCGACTGTTTGAATCCACTCCCAAAGCTGTTTCTCTAGAGCTGGCGACGTCACGCGCAGGGGTGTGCAACTGTTGCCGTCGCTGTAGTCATCGGACAGGATAGTGTCAGCGTTCTTCATGATGTCGGAGACCGTCGTCTAGGCTGGTGCCCGTTTTAATTTTAACGTTACTTTTGCCCACGCTGCTAGTTCCACTTGTGTCATCGCTGGGCTCTCGCTGGCCTTCTTGATCATGGTCCTCTTCTGTTTAATTGTGAGCCACCTCCCCATGGCTGGTCAGTGGCAACTAAGGGAATGACGATCTTCGTATTCTGCACTGCTGATGCCCAAGGTTACGGAATGACTGGTGCACTGCAACTGTGCCGATGGCTGGTGTGGAATAGTTCCCGCCAAAACGCTGCTGATCATGTCCCTCTTTAAAACAATACGATCATTTGGGTCAGGATATTGGGTTACAGCAGTACCGGAATGGAGAGCGTTTACTGTAATGACCATGTGTGGTTAGGTTGGGTAATTAGTAACAAATAAAAATGGTGGTATTACATATACCCTCCTTTCTTCAGAGAAGAGACGGCACTACTTGTAAGATTGGTCATTGCTGCTCATATTTCCCTCCGCTGGACTACCCGATGCCGTTCGAGCAATTGAAACTAGTGAATGTGTCAAACAGAGATCAATGTTAACCGGTCAAAGCTATCGCCACCATCCTGGTATAACAGTGTTGACGCATCGTTCTTGATCAATTGTTAGAGCTCCTTCGAGCAAGGTGCGATTTCTTAACCAATCGGAGACTGTCGTTGATGACATGGTGTACTTGAGACGGGCCAGAAAGTTAACCTACGACGTGGACCATCTATGGTTCACGTGACATATCATGTCGCTGGGGCAACAAGATACCGCGAGTATTGATCAAGTTGTCTATGCAACACCGTTCAAATTGCTCTTAATGCCTCATGAGTAACAGGTATTGCGGTATCGTCCTAGCTCGCCAGGTCAATCACGCTGGCCCTAAAACATTCACCACTTTGAGATCTCGTTGGTCGGGGCCACGTGGACAAGTCAACTCTCCTGGTCATTCACCATGACCTGAGCCCCAGGACTCATCATACCTACAGCTCGTGCTGAACCACTCGCTTCTCCAGCTGTGCGCCCGCCACAGCTCAACGTGGTGTAGCGGGCACAAAGTTGGAGAAGCGACTGGTTCAACACCAGATCATGTAGAGCATTTCCCATTTTGCCTCGTGTAGTATGCGTTCTCCAACTTCCGCGCGCTCCCCACGCTTCATCGCCGCTGCTGGCACCAGTCAGCTACAGAAGATTTCTTCCCCTGTTCCAGCCTACTACGACGATCTCAAGTCACCTGCTGAGCTGGAAGGAGGAGCTCTTCGACCTGGCGGAGCACCTGCATCGCTCTACTCATGGCAGAATATCGGTCTCGCAGCGCACCAAATCTCCGTGGCCGTCGTGTACGGGTCGATCTCTGGAGTGATCTACTCAGTGCTCAACAACTACCTCAACATGAGCGCAGTACTCGTCGCTACGGCCACAGCTCTGGTCAAGGTGCCGCACGCTTTGCGAGTCTTTACTGGCCTCGTCTCGGACTGCTACCCCCTTTTCGGATACCGTCGTCGTCCGTACATGGTTTGTGGATGGGCCATCTCGTTCGTCTGCTGTTTGATCATGGCCGTGGTTCCCTTGGGTAATCCGTACTACGGTGACTCGTCACTTGCAGAGATCCCAGAGAGTGACTGGACGACGGAACAACAAACCATGATCAACTATGATGCTCCCAATAAAGGTATCAAACTCATCATTCTCTTCATGCTAGCACACCTCGGTACCATCGTCGCGTACGGCGCAGCAGATGGTTACTTGGTGGAGCTTGCGCAACGTGAGCCAGAAGCTATTCGCGGCTCTATTCAGACAGATATCGCGATCGTCACTGCGGTCGCTGGTATTTTGACGTCCTTTATGACGGGTATCGGACTCAACAGTGAAGCTTACGGTGGTACCTTTTCGTGGGATATGGGTTTCGCTGGTGTCATGGGCGTGTGTGCGGCCTTCTCGCTAGTCACTATCCCGCTCTGCTGGTTCTGCGTGACTGAGGAGAAAGCCACAGCACAACCCACACGAGCGTTCTTCGCCTACCTATACGACTTCATGCAGTATCGAGTCATCTATCAAGTGCTGGCGTTCCGGTTTTTCAACCACATTTTCTCCAACTTCTCCGTCACCGCCGAGAGTAAAATCAAGAGCATCTGGTCGAATGTGACGCCCTTGAACGACGGTATTGCGAGCATGATTTCTTCCATCGTGAGCTTCGTGGCGCTGTATATGGTGCGCAAGTGGGGTCTCCACTGGAGTTGGCGCTGGGTTGTCGTCATCTGCCAGATCTCGGTTGTCTTTATAGACTGCTTCCCTACGTTCTTCACTATTTGGGATGTGTATCGAAGCCAATGGTTTTGGCTTGGGGTTCCCTTACTCGCCGAGGTGCCCAGCAGTATTGGGGAGTTGATTGCAAAGTTTTTCGTGATTGAAATCGCTGAGCCAGGCAGTGAAGCTACGATCATGGGTCTGATCATCAGTATCAACAACATCGGTACGCCATTTTCCACCGTCATGTACAAGTCCATCGACTCGCACTTCAGCATCGCAGCCAAGGATATCAAGAAAGACACTCATGAGGTCCGCATGGATGTGACTTACGCGTACTTGATCGCGTATGCGTTCAACTTGGCGTCGATAGTGTTTGTGTACTGGCTTCCGAGACAGAAGGAGCACGTTCACGAGTTGAAACGCACGGGCGGCAAGAGCAAGTGGATGGGGATTCTTACGATCTGCTACATTTTGTTTGGGTTCTTCTGGGTGGTATTGACGAACGCCTTAACACTGTCGACCTCCACCAGTTGTCTGCGTATCGCCGGTGGAAGCGGATGCTAAGTAGGTGAGCGTTTTAAGCAAGGACGTCTGATGACGGCAATGCTAAATAAAAAGTGGTAGGAAACGCTTGTTGTTCAAAACATATTTGCCAATTAAATCCATGAAGCAGCTCCGGTAATTTATTTCCGTCCTTGATAAACTACAGGAGTACATGTACAGTTCGCAAAATGACATCACAATATTATGTGAGAATATCCCCAAGTTAGAGACGTCCCGAAAGTCGACCAAACAGTCTAGATGCTTTGTTAATTCGATCATCTCATTTTCCCTTCGAGGGTGATTCGAGCGTCGTTAAAAGCATGAGCAACGTCCTCGAGACTTCCCAAAAGACGGAGCATAGGTGTCAACATGTCTGCTTTTGACTCCAAAGTCACTACGCGGCCGCTTGAGCGATCCCAACTGAAACGAACTGTGCCATTCATCTCAATTCGCTGGTTGATTAAGCGGCATGCAAGCGGAGACAGCTCAAAATCGCCAAATTCATCTACCGAAAGGTGTGGATACACGTTGCGTATCGTGTTTTCAGTGATAGTTAACGAAGTCTTCGTAGTGGCGACCACGGAGCATGCTCCATCCTTCTCAATGCGCTCGAGCTCAAGGTGGATGCCCTTGTGATACAACGAAAACAATCTCCAGTTCTCCAGCAGCGCGTCGACGCCACGCAGTGTCCCGTCGGCGACATCAATTGACATGGCCGCCTGTAAGAACTCGAGCTGTTTGTGCGATTGGCGAGGAATCACCGCCTCTGCTTCGTTCGATGTCAGCCCTGAATATGGTGCAGGTGCGGCGAATCCGTGTCGAAAGAGGCGGAAATATTCGGTGGCAATGTTCCAGACCGTCTCGTTCGTTGGAGTGGCGAACAAAATCCTCTGGCGCTGGTTCTCCAGCTTTTGGATCTCAGCTCGAGTCTGCTGATTGCCCAATTCCAGATCTGCCAGAAATTTGTCTTGTCTTTTACGGTAACGAGCCTGGTTGACGCGGCATTTCTCTCGGCGAAGGTCTCTCTTTGACACGAGCTCTATGATCAGGTCTCTGTACTTGTCGTGATCCGATAGGAGATGCTGCGTGCGATTTTTCTTCGAGGGCAGCGGAGCTGTACCATTCGAAACGTCAGCACCAACAGACGTAGTAGAAGAATGAAGGCGCTTGCGCGACATTTTGCTCATCTGCTGGGGTTTTCCCTCGGTCATCAGAGAAACATAGCTGGAGTCATGACAGCTCTTAGCGTTCTGTCCGATACCGTCAGTGTCTTCTGGCCCTGAAGGGGTTAAGCGGGGACGTGGGCCAGGATTTAGATGGCGAACTCCACTGCTAGTGCGATGAGATTGGCACCGCTGAATGACTTTGCCGATGACCTCGTCACGGAGAGACTGGGCTATCGGCGGGTAGAGTGAGCTTGTGGTCATGGCGAGCGAGCCTGGAGCGAATTGACTTGGTGATTGACTGCGCTAATTGTAGAATGAAAAAAGCTACTCAGTGTGGAGATGATCAGAGCTGGGTTAGTCTCACGCAACCGACCTAGAAAAAAATGCATGAAGAGTTAATAGTGTGCTGCTTATATTACATGTTCGTGAATGCCAATTGATTACCACATATGGTAACGCATCAGTGATTAAAGCCAAACGATTATCCTGTCAGCGCTTCGCTGGTTGCTCGAAGCCAATCGATTACGCCTTGCAGTATCCGGATAGTTATAATAGGGTTTCTATGCTACCCGTATCACCTGGGACTTGATGAAGATACCCTGTCCATCGATCGTCGACTGCTTTCGTTGCAGAAACGACCAAATAATTCTGCTCGTAAACGTCATCACCAGACATCTACTTGAGCGTCAACAATTGGCCCGTAAATGATCCACACACCTATATACTAATCTCCTCCGGCTTCGAAAGTCACCCCTGAGCGGCAGTATCCACTATTCAAGTGCCTTTGTTATATCGAGTATGTGGTCAACTAAATAGCTCAAAGTTGCAAATGCTGGTTGGCCCTTTTCGCAAAGTAACCATTGACCCGTCCTGATATGCCAACTCGGATATCACGACGGAGAAAGTCATTTATTTATTGGGTACGAGTCTGCAGCGGTGCAGCTCACTACGTCTACTGTGTAATTCATTCAAGGAACTAGCAGGGTTATAAGGCTTGACACTTGCTAGAATTGATTCTTCTGCAACGTTGCAGATTCGCGGCCTTTTTTCCTTAATCTGTCCAGTATCGTCGCAATTTGCTGCGACCAGCAAACTGATACGTCAACATTGTGATCACCTTATCTCCTCCAACTTTTCAGCTTAATAAACTCATCCAACGCGTCCAACTTCTCGCTAGAGATTGTTACGCGTTTATTCCTAATAATATTCAGTGTCGTGAACACTATCGTCAATAGAGCCCATCACGATACTTTTTGCGTTAGGGTCGTCCGTTGCCGATACGAGCTTCTTCACCAAAGTAGCACCATCAAAACTGTTTCTATAGATCTCCAGTACTGACTTTGTGGTGCCGGGATTATTCGCGTTAAAGTCGTCGACGTACTTCGTGAAAATTTTCAATTATCGGCGGTAAAAGCGTCATCCACGTCGTCGTAGAACCTCAACCATTGAAAGATATTTGCAGGCAATTGACCTTCACCCGTCCACTTACCGAGTGGTAATTCCTGCAATTGGTTGGCCTTCTTGAATGTACGAGGATTCGTCCTTGCAGTATACAATACCCGCCCCACCTTCTCTTCACCACCAACTCCCCTACTTAAGGTGCTTAGGAGGGTTTGATCGTAGTCCTTAGGCTTGATGAACTTGATGTAGTCGTCCAGAATCTCATACTTCTGACTGATGGGGCACGTGTCGTCGCCAAATATCAGTTGCTTGAAAATGCGACTCTTCCACATCTTCAGTTCTTAGCTCGCAACTCTCGAATTTCTTTTGCAAAAAGCGACGTGGATTCCGCACGGTTTTAACGAGCGCCATCGCCAGAGCGTCGCCTCCATATCTGGTGGAGATATTCTAATCACCGAGACCTTTTTTATCATACTCTTCGAGTTCATCTCTTTGACTAGGTTGATCAAATTATTGAAATTCGAGCTTGGCAAGGTGTCATCAATACGGCCAAGTTTCATGGCGTTCGCCGTTTGAGTCTCCAATTCGTTCATGTTGACCATTTTTACGACGAGTTTCGACGCACCACCCTCGACTTTGGTTGCTAGCCCCGAGATTGGTCAATCCCGACGAACCTCTCTTCGTCGTCCTCATCGCAACGCCTCAGGAACCTCTTATGAGTGACAGCGTTATGCGTTCTGGTTGTGGGCGAGGGAGCGTCCTACTGCTGGATAGTCGGTGGTGGTTAGATCGGAGGACGTGGCCCTTCAACATTTGCAAGGCAAACAGCAGCAAGTAACAGCGCGACCGAGTAGAGACGCATCATCGCTGAGGCTTGGTACTCTGGGTAATCACTGGTATGGGGCTATTTGGCAAATTGCGAAGTGATATATTCAAAGTAATTGCAATACTTACGGCAAGCCTTTGGTGTAGGTAGCTACGAGATTTGTCACTGTACAAAAACAATTTTTTCTACCAATCGTTCCAGAGTTTGGCTCTGTTCGTACTCTTTTCTACCAATCGCCCACGAGTGGCCAAGTCCTTACAGGACCGCTGCGTACCTATAACAGGATGGTAGTGAAAGGGTCAACCCTTTTTAACCCTTTCGCGGTCAATGGGGGCAAAATGCCCGCTTTGAGTGGTTTTTCAAAAGAGGGTAGGAAAACTACCACCAAAAGCGGGCATTTTGCATCGTTTGAGATTTCTATACACCTACTTTTGTAACTACCAATCATATCGCTTCTCAGTTTTTGCTGAAGGGACAGCTCGGCGATTTACCCAAGGAATTATGCTTCAAGTAGCAAATTAACATCGTCCCTGTAC